CCCCCGGGGGCCCCCCCCGCCAGGCCTGCAGCCATGTCGGCTTGAGAAGTCTCCGCTGGGAACCGTGGCAGGCCGGCGGCCTTGACGGGCATGAGACACCTGGGCGCTACTTTCTTTTTCCCTACCAGTGTTTAAGTAATAATTTCCATAATAATCCTCACACATCTGTGAGTACCGGTGCGATTCTCTCCTCCCCACGTCCACAAGTGTCTGTCTCGCCTCCTCCTTTTCAAAATCGAGGGGTCTCCCACCTCCCTGTCCTGTCTCCTTACAAATGCTCAGAAAACACATACATATAATTAAGGAATCTCCCAATATGTTGTTATTAAAATCCTTTTTTTTTAATTAATCTTGTGGTTTTGAGGCCCCCATTTGCTACTGTTTGTGGTTTGCATTGACAATTTTTTCTTTTTTTACTTTGGTGATGAGGTAGAAATGACTCTCTGACACTCTCAGAGTGGTTTTCTAGTAACCGGTTTCTTCTGTGTAGAGTCAAAAAAAAGTTTGCTTCAGTGCAGCCTCCAGTGGAGGCTGGAATGGGTACAGATTGAGCTGAGGTGAGCACCACAGGAAAACCCAACGTCTGAACTTCCAATTCCCATTTCTGCTATCCTTATTCCTCAGAGTCATCCTGTCACGCCAATGGCAAGTGTGGTGCGGAAAGGAGACCTGGAGGAGCAGTTACCTGGGAAGCCTGGAAAAACCACACCGGGATCCAGATGCATGGTTGGGAATCACTGGCTTGGAGATTAAAACAGAACGGCAGGGTTGTGAGGAGCCTTCACGTACTGTGCGATCCCTGGCTGCTTTGTAGGACGGTCACCGTGAGCAGGATTCTCCATCCAAGCCTTGAGGAAACCAAGCACACGGGAAGTCTGCTGGGAAATGCATCAGCTTGCTGCTAAGGTCTGTTACACAGCCACATCCATGTAAGAGGGAGTGCCATCAGCACGCAGAAGCAAGCGGACAGCCGTTAGCCTTAGCTCTTTCTAGATGGAGGCTTCTTGGTCAGGACTCAAACCGCAAGCACCTTTTTAATGTCATGGGTTTTGCATCCCTGTGAACCTTTCTGTTACGCACATTATGAACCGATTACGCTTCTCACTGCAATCTAAACTGGAAGCCAGACCAAATAATTCCGTACTGGCTTCATTTGAAGCATCTGAATAGGCTCTTGCCACCGAAAATCAAATGTCTCTCCCAGCTTGAAAACTGCCCCACTCCTCTCTTTTATAGTAGCTCTCATGCACTGAGTAGATTTTGAACTGCAAAACAGCAATTGTAGTAACTAAATCCAGATATTTATTGTGATCTCATACCATTAACTGAGCTATGACTTGCATTCAAGCACTGAAATCCAATGCAGCGTGGACAAGGGGCATCACATCTTCTGGTAATCTTCCCTGATTCTAAGGTTTGTTACATGTGACACCACGGAAGACTATTGGGCAATGCAGAAATCTTGGTGCCACCACTTTTTATCTGCCCATCATAAGGTTCAGGTCTGCTCTATGGTGAAAGGAGACACAGCACTCGCTTTTCCTCCCATAGGTAAGCATACTCCCCCTTGGCTTTTAGCAGGATACCTGTGCAAAACATTACCACCAAACGCATCACCAGCCTTCGCTTTTCCTTCTTGTCTCCAAAGACCCCAGAACTTCACTTCCTCCTCAAGCCTTTTTGTCCAAAGGGATCGTTACCATGTAGCTGCAAGTTTTACCCAGAAGTAGAACATCAGATTTCATTAGAGAGCACTATGGTAAAGCTATCTCCTCATGTGGGACGTGTCACCTTACCCTCCCTCCCCTGGATGGGATACCAGAGCCTGAAAGCCCTACTGATCTGTCACTGGGAGGATTGTCATAGCTCAGCTGTAGGCAAAAATTGCAAAAAACTGTCTGCAAGGGCCTCTTGGATCCTCGCAGGATGCCAGCTGGCCACGGAGGAGGTGAGACTGAAACCTGGTGTGAGAGGGGGATTGTTATCCCCTGCTAGCAGGAGAGGCGGATGGAGTTGGGGTGCTGGGGGGCAACTGTCATGCTGCAGAAGGGATGGGCTGCTGCAGAGATCTTGCTGAGGACCCTACCTGTGTGCTCATCAAGGACTCCCTCACCAGTGCCAGCAGGGAGAGTGCACCAGTTGTCAGCCTTGCTGGGAGATGGATGGTGGGACAGTAGCTTCCAGAGCTGTAGAGTTTCCATACAGTGCTGGTGGCCCAACCAAGGAGAGACGGCTCTTTGTAGTTGAGATGGGCCCCAAGGCTTCTGAATGCCAGTCCGCCGCAGCTTGAAGTTTGCTGTCATCCTTGCCTCACCTCCCGTGCTTGTCCTAGAGCCCATGTGGTTGTGCGGCAGGCTGGCTGGCAAGCTGCTCCAGCCAAAGGCAAATCCCCTCTTTGGATGGACAAGTTTTAAACCACATAAACCTGACCCAAAGTGAAGGGTGTGACTGTGTATCTGAGGATGGGGAGTCTCTGACAACCCTCGTTTAGATTTTTTTAAGCTACAACACTGCATTACCTGTGCAAAACCTCCTTTCCAGCTGCCATTGCCACCAGCTAGAAATAAAGGGCCGACTGAAAAAGCCTTCAAGACTGCAGACAATTTTTCAATAAAAGCCCCTATAATCTAGCAAAGCAAAAAATGTACTGAAAAGAAAGACAGGTGGAAATTAAAACCAGAGCAAACTGGGTATGTACCTTTAGTCATGAAAGCAGTTAACATCTGCAGCACACTGCCACGGGGAAACACTGGATCATCCATCTCTTGAGCAATTTGAAGAATGTCTGCAGGTAAGTGCAAATTATTGAAGGGGCTATGAGTTTTACAGCGGGATTGGAGAAGAGAAGGCTGCGGGGAGACCTGATTGCGGCCTTTCAGTACTTAAAGGGGGCCTACAGGAAAGACGGGGAAAATCTTTTTAGTAGGGCCAGCTGTGACAGGACAAGGGGTAATGGCTTTAAACTAAAACAGGGTAGGTTTAGACTAGACATAAGGAAGAAATTCTTTACAATGAGGGTGGTGAAACACTGGAACAGGTTGCCCAGAGAGGCAGTGGAGCCCCATCCCTGGAAACGTTCAAGGCCAGGTTGGACGGGGCTCTGAGCAACCTGATCTAGTTAGCGGTGCCCCTGCTCACTGCAGGGGGGTTGGACTAGATGGCCTCTAGGGGTCCCTTCCAACCCAAAACATTGTATGATTCTATGATTATATTATCCAGGGATTCTATGAGTACTAAGAGGTGGTTGATCATCTCTGTTAGCCTTCAAATCTGTGAATCTGCGGGGGCAAACTACCATCTGCAACTGGTGGCAGAGTCGAGAGGCAGGGCTCGCAGATGCAGACTCCCAGGGGGTTGGCCCAGTCATGGTGTGACCTCTACACTCCTCCGCACCAGCTCGTGGGGCCGCAGATGATGAGGGAATATGAAAAAGACGCAATGTCAAAGTGAAAACCTGTAGTGGGGTAAAGCACAAAATCCATGGGGCAGAGCCCACCGGCAGCTTGGCACTTAAGACACAACCGAGGCTACGCTCCCTCAACAACCTCGCTGCTTCTCTGTGCCGCCTTTGCTGTGTTTGCCACCTGCAGCTTGAGGCGATGTGTCCCAAGTTTGCTCACGACTCCCGAAATAGAGTAAATATTTTTTTCAGTCTGATTTGCAAACCCTCATTCTCCCTCCACCTCCGCCTGCCCCCTTCAGCCTTTGCCTTCTCCTGCACCACTGAAATTTTTGACGGTTCGTTCTCCCCCGGGTTCCAGGAAACCATGTGACTAATTAAGCACTTGGGGCAAGCTCAGGTGCAAGGAAAAAACAAGTCAGATGACATGCCACTGCCCACTCGCTCCAGCGAGTGCATTCCATCTCAGCGTGTGTCTACCCCTCTACTTCGTAAGGGAAACAAAAATACCGGGCTTCCCTGGGCTGTCCGCTCCAGAGCCTCACAGCACAACTGGATCGGCAAAACTGAGTCTCCTGCTGCGGAAGCAAAAGCACCAGGGGCCCAGGCAGAGGCGTAAGTGCCTCTTCCCTGCTGGAAGAATTTGGCCTGTGTACTTTGTCACACACTTGAGCGGCTCTGTTCAGGCTTTTGAGCAGTTTGGGGCATATACAGCAGAGGGCTCATGAGAAGAAGAGTCTGCAGCCCACAGCCTGGGTTGCCAGAGGTGGCACGCAGCAAAGCACTGGAAGG